GTGGACTTGTGTATGTGGTTATTGTGTGTGTGTGGACTTGTGTATGTGGTTATGGTGTGTGTGGACTTGTGTATGTGGTTATGGTGTGTGTGGACTTGTGTATGTGGTTATTGTGTGTGTGTGTACTTGTGTATGTGGTTATTGTGTGTGTGTGGACTTGTGTATGTGGTTATGGTGTATGTGTAGACTTGTCTATGTGGTTATGGTGTGATGTGTGTGGACTCATGTATGATCAATGCCAAGTTTTAGTGCCAGCATTAAGTCAGCTCCTCAAAATGAGTTGGGTAGTTCTTCATTATTTAAAATCTTTCTTCTGCATTTAATAGAAGAATCATTAGCAAAGAATAATATGTTTGTTAAAAATATGAATAATATCAACCCTATGACTAATGGTATTTAATGTTCCTCCAATTAGTTTTGTGTTGACTGATTTTTCAGGATTTTTAAATCTGGTTTCAGTTAATTTTGATGACTTGTGTTTTTCTGTGAAATAATTTGTTGATTAAATGTTTAAAGCTTACTACTTTTGTATTCATTGTGAATACTCTGTTAATGTTTAAATTATTTTTCTCTATATTAGCTTTCTATTCATGCTTCTTAACGTTCTTTCTATTCATGTTTTCTTTTGATACATAATTTGTCTTTCATTTCTTATATACTTATGTATTGAATTATATTTTTAACATATTTTCTCTTTTCTGTTAAATTATGAAATATTTTTTAGGATATAATATATATGAAAAATGTATAATAAATACCTGTAGACTCAAAATATTATCCAAGTAATAAAATATTACATGTAATTGAAGTCCTGTATGTACTTTGCCCAGCAGAAGTATAAATACTACTATGAATTTAGTTTTTTCCAAGTTTTATTAATTGAAATTTTAAATGCAGTCAAAAGTGGAGAGATGCCCAAGTACCCATTGTTAAGCTTCATCACTTATTAATGTGGCCCATCTCTTTTCATTGGTATCTTCACCTCTGTTTCTTCCCAATTCTTTTAAAACAAATTCTAAAATAAAATCCCAGTTCTCTAAAAGATAAGGGCTATGTTTGTAAAAATATTCATAATAATTAGGAAATTACTGTATAGCACAGGGAAACCTACTCAATACTCTGTGATTGCCTATATGGGAAAAGACTCTTAAAAAAAAGGTGAATATATATATATATATAAATATGGCTTCCCATGTGGAGCAGTGGTAAAGAATCTGTCTGCCAGTGCAGAAGATGCAGTTTTGATCATCTGGGTGGGATCACCCTTGGAGTCAGAAATGGCAACCCACTCCAGTATTCTTGCCTGAAAAATTCCATGGAGAGAGGAACCTGATGGGTTGTATGTAGTCCATGGAGTTGGAAAGTGTCAGACACGACTGAACAGGCATGCACGTATGTTTCCAATGGGTTCACCTTCCCGCACACTTGAAACTGACACAACACTACAAATCATCTATACTGCAAAAAATTTTTTTTAAAACTCACAATCTTATTAAAATACCTAAAAATAAATAAGTTGGTTTTTAGTCTCAGCTATATAGTCAATGTTGAGGTTTTCTTTTTTTAAAATGATTTCCCTACAATTTCTTGTTTTTCATTGAGTTATAATTGACATACAACGTTAGTTCCAGCTGTTAAACATAGTACAATATAGTTCAAATATACAAAATAGAATGTATTTCAAAATGATCATAGTAAGTCTAATCAACATCTTTCAGGATACATAGTTACAAAAAGTTTATTTTCTTGTGATTAGGATTTCTAAGATCTCTTCTAGCAACTTTCAAATGTGGAATACAATTTTTATTAACTGTTGTTACCATGTTGTGCATTCCATCCCCATGACATGTGACCTTTATATTATATCTGGAAGTTTGTACCTTCTGCCTTGAATTTGTTGTTGTTGTTCAGTTGCTCAGATGTGTCCAACTCTGCCACCCCATGGACTGCAGCACGCCGGGCCTCCCTGTCCTTCTCTGTCTCCTGGAGTTTGCTCAAACTCATGTCCATTGAGTTGGTGATGCCATCCAACCATCTCGTCCTCTCTAGCTCCCTTCTCCTCCTGCCCTCAATGTTTCCCAGCATCAGGGTCTTTTCCAGTGACTCGGCTCTTCTCATCAGGTGGCTCAAATATTGGAGTTGCAGCTTCAGCATCAGTCCTTCCAATGAATATTCAGGGTTGATTTCCTTCAGGATTGACTGATTTGATCTCCTTGCTGTCCAAGGGACTCTCAAGCATCTTCTCCAGCACCATGGTTTGAAAGCATAAATTCTTTGGTGCTTGGCCTTCTTTATAGTCCAACTCTCATGTCTGTACATGACTAATGGAAAAACAGTAGCTTTGGCTATATGGACCTTTGTTGGAAAAGTGATGTCCCTGCTTTTTAATACGCTATCTAAGTTCATCAAAACTTTTCTCCCAAGGAGCAAGCATCTTATAATTTCATGACTGCAGTCACTGTTGCAGTGATTTCGAAGTCCAAGAAAATAAAACCTGTCACTGTTTCAATTTTTTCCCTATCTGTTTACCATGAAGTGGTCAGACCAGATGCTATGATCTTAGTTTTTTGAATGTTGAGTTTTAAGCCAGCTTTTTCACTCTCCTCTTTCACTTTCATCAAGAGGTTCTTTAGTTCCTCTTTGCTTTCTGCCCTTAGGTTAGTGTCATCTGCATATCTGAAGTTATTGATATTTCTCCTGGCAATCTTGATTCTAGCTTGTGCTTTATCCTGCTTGGCATTTCCCATGATGTACTATCCATATAAGTTAAATAAGCACGGTGACAGTATACAGCCTTGATGTACTCCTTTCCCAATTTTGAGCCAGTCCATTGTTCTATGTCCAGTTCTAACTGTTTCTTCTTGACCTGCATAAGGTTTCTCAGAAGGCGGGTAACGTAGTCTGGTATTTCCATCTCTCTTTAAGGTCTTAATTTTCCAGTTTCTTGTGATCAGCATAGTCAGCGGCTTTAGTGTAGTCAATGAAGCAGATGTTTTTTTTCTGGAATTTCTTGCTTTTTCTATGATCCAGTGTATGTTGGCAATTTACTGTCTGGTTCTTCTGTGTTTTCTAAATCCAGCTTGTACATCTGGAAGTTCTCGGTTCACATACTGTTGAAACCTAGCTTGAAGGATTTTGAGCATTACCTTGCTAGCATGTGAAATGAGCTCAACTGTATGGTAGTTTGAATATTCTTTGGCATTGCCTTTCTTTGGGATTGGAATGAAAACTGACCTTTTCCAGTCCTGTGGCCACTGCTGAGTTTTCCAAATTTGCTGGCACATTGAATGCTGCACTTTAACAGCATCATCTTTTAGGACTTGAAATAGCTCAGCTGAAATTCCATCACCTCTGCTAGTTGAATTTAGTTTTTATTATCATTCTTACTTTTATATTTTCAAAATAGATAGATGTGTCCATAAAGAATATATAGTTTTGTTCTGAATGTTTTCACACTTTATATGTGTTATACTGTATGTATCATTCTAAAACTTGACTTTTTGACTTGATATTTTGTTTTTAAGATTTTTCAGGGAAAAAAAAAGATTTTTCAGTGTTGGCTTATATATTCTAGATTCTTCTTTGAGCTGTTGAATAAAATTCTCTTATATGAATAAAACATAATTTTTCTTTTATAGTGGGGAGTGAGATTATTTGTAATTTTCCATTTATGGATAGTACTGTGATAGGCCTTGTACATATATCCTTGTTAACATGTGTGAGAATTACTCTAGGATATAATTCAATGAATGAAATCTTGGGTATGATATATACACATACTGAACTTTATTGTTACTGACATATTACTGTCTATAGTGATGATACCAATTTATACAAGGGTATGGAAGTCACCTTTGCCCACGTTGTTGCCAGTTTACATTTGTTTGTTCCCTTAAAAACATTTCTTACATTCTTGCATGGGTCTTTCGTTTTCTGATGGTCAGTTTTAATAATAATTACTTGCATGAAGAAATACTCCTCAGAACATTACAGTGTTTTTTTTTATCATATGTTTTTTCTTAGTTTTGTCATTTTGTGTAATCTGCATTATCAATAATTTGATTCTTGAAATATTTTAAATATATCTGAAAGGTTGAGGTTTTTACATGTAAACTTTGGCTATTCGTCTTGTGAAGTTAATTTGTCTGAATATGTTTCTGTTGTTTGGAATTAGAAGATTCAGCAATGGATGCTCCAAAAGAAGGTTTATTTTCTTTATGGCATAATCTTATTTTAAAACATGGTTGACCTGTCATGAGTTTGCTGGTGGCAGGGTAATGACTCACTGTTGTTTTATAAGTATAAAAACATGAACTGAAGTGATATATGAGAAATTTATGATTATTTTGGCTTCTGTAGAGAGAGTAAGAATAAAGGAAGCATCAACTTTAAAGTTTAACATCTGTAAGTGAAAATAAACATCTGAAACATCAATAACTATCCATTGTAATGTTCCTGGAATTCAAGAAGTATTGTTGGGATGCCCCTGGTGGTCTAGTGGCTAAGACTGCGTGTTCCTAAAGCAGGAGACTTGGATTCAATTACTGGTCAGGGAGCTCAGATCCCATATGCCACAACTTAGACTTGGTGCAGCCAGATAAATTCAGTTAATAAGAATTTAGAAAAAAAAAGTATTGTCATTTTTTAGTCCTTGTATCCAGGTTGTGGGATTATGACTGACTGTCTTAAAATATTTTTTGTGCTATTGTGTATTTTTCATACTCTGCTCAATGAAACATGTTTCTTTGTTATGATCAGAAAACTTTAAAAAGACCAAACTGTCTTATTTACCCTTTGTGTCTTTTTTGTGGTGAAGAAGGGTGAGTGGGACGCTTAAATTCCACTTTGGCCAATAATTAAATTGCCCAGTGTATTCTCTTTTTGTTTTTTCTCTATTGCATATTTGCTTTTCTCATTATTTTTTTCTCTGTTTGAAGTTTCAATAAATAATTCAACCATTGTTAAAAATCTTATATTGAATTTACTTTTCTGCTGTATAGGTTAAAGAAGAGATGCTGTTCGAGGCACTAGTTACAAGGAAGACTGTGACAGTGGGAGAAAAGCTTATTTTACCATACAAACTGGCAGAGGTATGAATAGATTTTCTTTGAAATCAGGGAACTCTAAATGCTTTTTGAAATTTAGATTTATATTCTTGCTTTTAATAGAATGAAAATGACAGTAGTGTTGATTGAAATATTTTCTGGGCTCTTGAAACTTGATTATGAATTTTCTATCAACTTGGAAACTTTTAAACAGTATGCTTACATTTTTCTCCAGTGATCTTAATCTTATCACCATTTTTAATTTTCATTTGATGTATATGGATAGGTAGCAATATTTGACACAAATGATTTTTCCTTCCTGAGCACATCGTATCTTCTGGCACATCATACTCTTGGGTTACTTTTCCATTGTTGGCCACTCCTTGGCAGTTCTTTTTGTTTTTTTCTTCTTCCTGACTCTGTTGATGAAGGATGGGGTTCCGTAGGACAGTCTTTGTCTGTCTTGCTGTATACTTTTTATCTCAGTTGTCTCATCAGTCCCATGGCTTTAAATGTCACCTGTATAGTAAGGCTTCCACTAAAGTTTTATTGCTACAGGGAGCCAATATTACTGTTTTACCACTCAAGTGTATGAGAGTGGGCTTCCCTGGTGGCTCAGAGGGTAAAGCGTCTGCCTACAATGTGGGAGACCCGGGTTCGATCCCTGGGTCGGGAAGATCCCCTGGAGAAGGAAATGGCAACCCACTCCATTACTCTTGCCTGGAAAATTCCATGGACTGAGAAACCTGGTAGGCTACAGTCCTTGGGTTCGCAAAGAGTCAGACACGACTGAGCGACTTCACTTCACTTTTATATGAAAGTGAAGTGAAGTGAAAGTTGCTCAATCATGTCCGACCCTTTGTGACCCCATGGACTGTGCAGTCCATGGAATTCTCCAGGTCAGAATACTGAAGTGGGTAGCCTTTCCCTTCTCCGGGGGATCTTCCCTTCCCAGGGATTGAACCCAGGTCTCCCGCATTGCAGGTGGATTCTTTACCAGCTGAGCCACAAGGGAAGCCCAAGAATACTGGAAGTATATAGGAGTAGGAAAATTATTGAAAGGTCTTCTACTTTATGGTGAAATTTTACAGAAATGATGAGAAATAATAGTGATGACGATTATAAACGTAGGAGAAGAATATGAGACTAGAAGACATGGAGGTGGAAAAAGAGTGATTTAAGTGTAGAGAATGCTTTCTAGGCAGACGTTGATCCATTCATCCCATTTTTTTGGGTCTCTCCTGATTGTACCTGAAAGTCCACGTTTCTTCATTATTCAGGTATCTTATGTCATATTTTATAGCTGCCAACTTTGAGAGCGCCTTTGTAGACCACAGAAAAAGAAACCATTTAAGAGTTTTGCTGCTGTTTTACATAAATGTTCAATGCTTTTATATTTTCTATTTCCACTTTTTTGATTATTAAATATTTGTTATGTTTATTTGCATCTTTTAACATTAAATTCAGCTTTCTGAGATTATTTTTGTTGCCCCTGTTTTATTTTGGTTTATGTTTGTTTAGTCTGGAAGATCCACTGGAGTAGGAAATGGCACCCCAGTCCAGTATTCTTGCCTGAAAAAATCCATGGGCAGAGGAGCCTGTGGACTATATCCCTTGGGGCTGCAAAGAGTCAGACACAACTGAGCGACTGAGCGTGTTTGTTTGGTGTATTTATTCATTTATTTAGTAAATATTTGAAAAAGGTTTTTGTGTCTAGAATTGTGCTAGGCATTGTGGGTGAGATGAAGAGCGGTCCTTAAGGATTTCAGTATTTTTTCGGAAAAGCAGTGGAGAGAGTGTGTCAAGCAAAAAAGTGGCCTTAGCGGTTTTTTTTGGGGGGGGACAATCTGACAGCGATGTGAACAATCAGTTGGAGGAGAGTGTGTTAGTTTCCTGTAGCTGTGTAACAAGCTTTAGTGACTTAATACAACACAAAGTTATTATCAGAAAGTTTCCATGGATCTGGGCCTGAGTTAGCTGGTTCCTCTGCTCAGGGTTTCACCAGGCTGAGGTCAAGATATTCTTGATGGCTGTTTTTTAATCTAAGACTCAACATCCTCTTTCAGGTTCACAATTTGTTGGCAGGATTCACTTCCTTGTAGGACTGAGGCCCATAATTTCTTGTTTGCTGTTAGGGGCCATTCTCAGCAGCTAGAGTGTACTTGGCATTTCCTATCATGTGGTCCTGTACACAGCATGGCAGTTTGCTTCTTCAGGTCCAGCACGAGAACCTCTGATGCATGCGCTCACTCCCTAGAAGCCACCTCTACCTGGGACAGTATCTCTTGGGTTAACTAAAAATTTCAGCTGATTTGGGGCCATAATTATATATTCAAAATCCCTTCACCTTTGTCATATAACATAAGATAGTTATAGGAGTGAAATCCATCATCTTTACAGTCCTGCTCTCACTAACTGTGAGGGGATTTAGAGAGGAAGGGGACTTAGAGAGCATGTATACCCAGTGATGGGAGTCTTGGGAACCATCTTAGGATTCTAACACAGAGGGCAAAAGTGAGTGTGCAAAGATGAGTTTGGAGGCTATAGTAGTTACTGCTCCTGAGGAGAAAGATACTTGCTGCTGTGTCTAGAAAGGTGACATTCTGATAGGGAGAAATGGGTGTATTTAAAAAGAAAAAAAATTTAGAAGATTAAGTCAACAAGGTTTGGCAATGAGTTCTTAATGGAAAGCAGGGAGGAAGAAGGAGATGTCAGGCATGAATTGGAAAGCAGGGAGGAAGAAGGAGATGTCAGGCATGAATCCTGATTTTGTGGTACATACAACTATAAGAATATTGGTAGCATTCAATGAGACAGGAAACGCTAAACAAGATCTTGTTTGAGTGGGAAAATAATTAATTGGTATTTGGGCTTATTGAGGTCAAGCTATGACAAGAGTGCATTTCAGAGAAAAGAGGCTAAAAGTGTAATATTGGGAGTTATGGTGCAAAAAGGCATATTCATATATTTGAATTTTCTCTGAATCTTTTAATTTGATATGAAGGGTTGTCCTTTAATGAAAAATTCAGCTCATTTATATTGATTATGACAACTAGCATGTTTTCTTATTCTATGTTTTAAAATATTTTGCTTTTGCTGAATTTAATCAGATTTTCTTAATCCCATGTTCCTCCCCACCACCCCTCAGAAGCGTAGAATGATTATTCTCTCTATATATTCTGCTATTGATTTTCTTGATATTTTAAAGATACTTTGTTGATCACTTGCCTAAGAATAGAATTTTAGGTCCACATTATTTTTTCTCCCAGAACTTCTAAACATTTTCCAGTTATTTTCAAGTTTTAATTGTTGGATAGAGAATTTGATACCTGTTTTCTCTTTTTCTATGTAGGTAATAGTAATTAGTTTGTGTTCTAGCAACTTGAAGCTTTTTTTTTCCACTTAAATTCAGAAATTCATTCATCATTTACATGTAGTCAGTTGTCGTATTGTCTCCATTTTACAGTTGTAAGAAAAGATTGTAGCCTAAGAGTTTCAGCAACTTGACAAATCTCAAATTGTTAGAATAAGTAAGAAACTGAAATTGGAATATAGTCTAGCTCTTAATCAATGCTCTGTACCTACTCTAATATATAAACTTCAAAATAAGTCCCTAAATAATAAATACGTAAATTATTAGAATTTATTTTTTAAGTGATAGTATTCAGTCATCTAAGACATGTGCTTCCCCAACCCTCTTTTTAGGTTGTAGTGCCTTCAAATGTTGAATATTCTTTAAGTAATTTTCTTCATTTTTTAGATCAGTTTCAGGTTTTCACAAAAACTCAGTATATATACAGAGTTTCCATTAACTGGGGAAAGCTTGAGGTGAGGGAAAAAAATAAATCACAATAACTCCTTAATGAAAGAATTGTTAGTGTTTGGGAGGAAGAGCTTGTAGATGTCACCGTGGATGACAGGCTGAAGACAACTAGGAATGTAATTGTGGTGGTATTATTATTGTTTGAAGTTCCGCAGATAACTGATGCTGTTTGCTAACAGGTTTATTCCTATGCCTGGAATATTCTTCCTCACTTTAGCTGGCAAAGTTCATTTGTTAATAAACTTCCTATTCTATCTTCTTTACTAGGTGAAATATATACCCCAATTTTTAGTAAAACTATTTTGAATTGAGTGACCTACATTTTGCTTTTTTAATCTTTCATGGCAGTTTTAGCCTGGATTTCCTGAGTTGGATTAAATTAATGAGTATATATAGAAAACTTCAATTATAAATTATTGAGATAAAAATTAATTTATTTTTCAAGATAATAAGCTTTTTTTTCCCCCAGATTGTTGCCAATTTCACTTGGATTCCTAACTTTTTTTTTTTTTCCCTAGGCTGTGACAGTGAGGAACTCTATGGCTAAGTCTTTATATAGTGCCCTGTTTGACTGGATCGTTTTTCGGATTAATCATGCACTTATGAATAGTAAAGATTTGGAACAAAATGCCAAGGTAGACATATGTTGGACCCTAATATATTTTTCCTGAAAAACTGTTTTAATAAAATGGTTAATGCATGACATTTAAAAACACAGACTTGTATATAGCAATAAGTATATATTCACCTTAATTCACTTATAGTATTCACCTTATATCACCTTATAATATTTCCTGATATTTCTCTCCTTACTACTGTTTCTATGACCCTATTCAGGGAAACTGTTCTTTCTGTACGTCAGAGCTTTTACCCTATGTCCTTACATTCCTGTAGATGTACCTGTACAGAGTTGCTTTTAAATGTAAAAAGAGGATCATGCTACCTGCATTGTTTCTAATTTGTATTTTTTTAACCTAGCTATGTCTTGATATATATCTGGACCTCATTATTTTTAATATTGTAATATTATATAATATGCATGTGTAGCATAAATTCAAATATATTCAAATACATTTTTTATTGTTATAAGTGATTATGTAAGAGATATTCTTTGTGCAGATTTCTCTAGGATAAAATTCTCAAATTGTTAGACTTAAGGATATGTATATATTTAAAAAGTTTGGTTGCTACTGCTAAGTGACTTTTCAAAAAAGATTACACCTCGTTAGAGATGAATGAAAGTGCCTGTTTCCTTGTAACTTTACTCAGTTGAATATTATCAGTATTTTCATCTTGCTAATCTGATAAGGGGGACTATTTTATTATGAATCTTTTCAGTGTTAGATGAAAGACGAGTATCTTCTCATGTTTTCTCTATTATTTCTTTATATATTTTTGCTATTTTTATCTTATTTGTCATTTTATTACAAGTCCTTTTGGATATTGCAGAGACAAAGTTTCTGATATATAGTGCAAATATTTTCTCTTAACTTTTAAGATTTGTTCGTATTATGTTTTTAAGCCTATATATTTTAAAGTTTTGTCCCCAGTTAAATCTGTCATTATTTTACTTTATTGCCCTAGGTTTTATTTGTTTATTTTTCTTATATAGGAAGGGCTCGTCTAGGCCAAGTTTATAAAATATGAATGTTTATTCTCATACTTTTAGAATTTAATTTATGTTCATGTTTGTGTTCATAATTATGTTTATGTTTTTTCCCCAGCTGGAATTTATTTTTTAACATGGTAGATTTTAGATATTTACCTTTAATCTTTTCAAATCCATTTTTATTCCCCAACAACTTTTATGAAATAGTCTACCTTTTCAGGCCAAATAGCAATGTCATCTTTATTACTTAATCCTACCATCTTAAATATATTAATACAATTGCTCTTATATGACCATGTCATGCCTTAAGTCCCCTAGTAGGAAAGTGATTTAAATTTTAATCTAATTTACCAAATTGATTTCTTTCTGAAGATCATTATTTTCGCTGCTTTTTGTAAGGGCTTAGAATTAGTCAGTAGAAGTAATCAAACAAAACACTCATAATGGAGACTTTTAAAAGTCTCTTGCTATTTATCACTCATTAAATCAGTTTGCCCAGTATCTCTTAGCACCAGTGGAGAAAAATTGTTTCATTTAATCACAGCTGTCATACAACTCTATTTTAAGCATGAGATGGGGTGTGGGAAGAATAATAGTTTGGGGTGTTAGGACTGAATATTCAACATCCTTAGCAAGAAGTTAGAAGATTGTTTCTGGAAGTGTCATATCAAGAAATAGAAGAATAAACACTTTTTACTATATTATACTATTCTGTACCACATAACTAAAAAGATTTGAGTGTTTTTGACTTTAGGGAGCAGAAATTGAGGATGGTGAAGTGGTTTGCTGTAATCTTTTTAGAACTGTTAAATGTCATAAATCTTTTTTTTTTAAGTTAATGTCATAAATCTTGTATGACTACTTTTGCTAAAAATTTTTAATGTTTTAACTTCAAGAAACCACATATTCTGATATCCAGTTTCATTTCTAGCCTGTGTAAGACAAGAAATATGCTTGTTAGCTTATCTTAAAGCAGAATTTTATTGGGATAGAGAAGTCAAACTAGGAAAATTTGCATGGTCCTTTGGCAGAACCAGGCATACCCAGGGTTAACCTAGCTTTACTTTACTAACCTTCTGACTTTCCAATAGCCTTTTTTTTTTTCCTTCCCTTGTCTCTGGGGATTTAGAGATTTGTGGTATTGAGGTAACAAGTCTTTAACTCTGCTTTGTACATTTCTGTGAAGTAATCAATGAATTACATTTGTTAAAACTTTGGATCTATTTTTATAATTAAGATAAAAAGAAAATGATAAAGATAAAGAGAACTAAAATGCTTTTTATTTTTAGTATATTTTGGTTGACCACTGGGTCCCCTCAAGTTTTCCTCTACTGCTGTCGAAGAACTTTGAACATTTTGTTACTTATATTGTGACTATTGTTCATGAAATAAATTTAAGCATCATTTTTTAACCATAATTTCTTTCTTGTTTTTCACAGACTTTGTCCATTGGTGTTCTTGATATTTTTGGGTTTGAAGATTATGAAAATAACAGCTTTGAACAATTCTGTATTAATTTTGCTAATGAACGTTTACAACACTACTTTAATCAGCATATCTTTAAATTGGAGCAAGTGAGTACCTGAATGGGCTTCCCAGGTGGCTTGGTGGTAAAGAATCTGCCTGCCGATGCAGGAGATGCAGGAGACGTGGGTTCAGTACCTGGGTTGGGAAGATCCCCTGGAGGAGGAAATGGCAACCCACTCTAGTATTCCTGCCTTGAAAATCCCAAGGACAGAGGAGCCTGGCAGGTTACAGTCCATAGGTTCACAAAGAGTCGGACACAGCTGAGCGACTGAGCACACACGTGTGAGGATGTGAATGTGTGTTCACTCGCCCCTTCCCCACTCCCTGAACCCCCACCTGCACCTTCATGTACACCACATAAGTTTTTTGAGTCATAGTCATGGTAAGTATTTTAAGTGTTGATTTCAATAAAGATATTATTGTCTTCATATTAGTGTAAGGAAATGACAGATCAGAGCATAGAATTTTGGGCCTTATCACACAGGGTTTTCTGTTTTAATTAAAAGGCCTCAAGTAGAGTCAGTAATATGTGCTTATTTGATGGAACCTTTGAATGAAAAGATCTATGGATTTGTTTTGGTTTTTGTTGATGTTTTTGATTTTTAATTGCTTTTGTGGCCTTGGTCACAGTGTGTCATATTAAGTATGCTTGTTTGATTCCTTTGATCTCTTTAGTTCAAGGATGGGATAGAGGAGCTTATTAATAGAATCTTAAATCAGCTTAGAATGTGGATACAAAGAAACAGGACAGTATAGAGAGACCAAATTGAGTAACTACATGTTTTTTATGAAATGCTCAAATTGATTGAATTAGGATAGAAAGAGTAAGCCATCAGTTTACATGAGAATTCTTAGGGTAACTGCAGGGTCGAAAGAAATGTGGGTTCTTTCTCTAAGCCAGATTTGAATTCAGTAACAAGTTGAGTTTATAGCCCAGAAGTTAAGTTTGTGTATGAAGACATAAATAGAAGGTGGGTTCACATTCAACTCAAAGGAATAATGAAGAAAAGAAATGAACAGAAAATCACAATAGTTTCCTGTCATTGGGGCTTGCTCTGTCTTGTCTTTAAGCACAACTGTTTAAGCACCACTGTTAAAAGATAGTATTATTTTTTATAATATCACCTAACATGTAGTGCTTACCATTAAGTGATAGAAATAAAAATATACCAAAGATGCTTTGGGAGGAAACATTTTGAGAGTTTTAATTACTGAAGTTCACGTCTAAGTCTTGCCCAAAATTAATACATAGGAGAGATATGTAATATATTGCCATGCAGGATGATAGGTACTAAAATCAGATATAAGGTAAAGTAGTGATAGAGTCGGACAGGACTGACCGACTTCACTTTCACTTTTCACTTTCATGCATTGAAGAAGGAAATGGCAACCCACTCCAGTGTTCTTGCCTGGAGAATCCCAGGGATGGAGGAGCCTGGTGGGCTGCTGTCTATGGGGTCGCACAGAGTCAGACACGACTGAAGTGACTTAGCAGCAGCAGTGATAGAAAGGATGAAATTTATTAGAATTTGTTGAAAGTCTGCAGAGATTTCCTAGGAATAGAGTGATTCTGGAATAGAGTTTTGAATAGAAAGTTGAGCTCACCAGACTCAATAGGGAAAAGACATTTTAAACAAAGATAACAATATCTTTAAAACTGTGAGGCATAAAATAGCACAGCACTTTTGATGAACTGGAAATGATTCAGTGTAGCAAAAATACAGGATATAAGGATGAGGGCAGGAAAGGAGATAAATTTGATGAGATAGTCTCTATCAGATAGTTGTTCATAGAAGATTAGAATTTTTCTGTTAGAAAATGGGGAGCTCTTTGAAGTATGTTTAGCAAACATTTGAATTGGAACTGTGGAAGATGTATTGAAGAGAGTCAATTATATTTCAGGCGCTGTTAGGCGTTGAAGATAAACAGTTTAGAGTTGAGGAATCTTACTGTCGAGTTCATAATCTAGGGAGTTGTTCTTTTTTCTGTCCCTCTTCTGGGGATGTCACACTAGAAAATTTTGACCAAACTTGCCTTGCAGAACATCTGAAAAATAAAACAACTGAACAAAACATGATTGAAAGCATTGGAGTACCTTCAAATAAGTGAAGTTTTACAGGGCTCAGATATGCAAGCATGAAATCTAGGGAGATGAGCTCAGCATTCAGGGAATGCTTTGTTGCTAGAGACATTTGTCTTCTGGTAGAAGGCTTCCAAAAAGGATTTTCTCCAGATTAAAGAGCAAAAGAGGAGCTCCCTGGCAACTCCCAGAGGCTTGAAGACCTCAAAGGGTTATATCTTATAGTAAAGGTAAAGCAGAAATGGGGCTTTTCCAGTGGCTCAGTCAGTAAAGAATCCGCCTGCCATACAGGAGACTGCCTGTAATGCAGGAGACCCAGGCTCAATCCCTGGGTCAGGAAGATCACCTGGAGAAGGAAATGGCAGCCCACTCCAGTATTCTTGCCTGGGAAATCCCATGGACAGAGGAACCTGTCAGGCTACAGTCTGTGGGATCGCAAGAGTCAGACATAACTCAGTGACTAAGCCAACAACCAAAGCAGAAATAGAGCAGGCAGTCATCATAGGGGCTAAAGCTCAGTGTAAAATAATTTCAGTTCCTGATTGGGTTAAAACAGCGTAGAATTTCTAGTGTTCTTAGCCACCTGCTAAGAGCAAATTCAGTCTCTGATGGAGAAAAAGATCATCTCATTACTAAAGTTATCTCTGCACTTTTTCATGTGTGAGCATTCAGATTTTTAACTGAGATGTTTGTTTAAGACATACAAGGAAGGAAACCAACATGAAAAAAAACCAAGAGAAGTGAGACAGTAGACTACCATAGGGGATTCAGATAATGATCTTATCAAACTTGAACTTTAACAGTGGTTTCAAGAAATTTTTTAAAGTGATAATTTTATTAAAGAACAGCAAACTTTAAAAAAATCTTAAATTTAGGAAAATCTAGGACTAAAAATAGGTGAAATTAAGAACATAATATTAATTTTCACAATTAGATATAACTTAAGAGAAAATTAGTGATTTAGAAGATAGAAGTACCAGCTTGATGAATAAAGGCGGAAAATACAAATATTGTAAGAGACATATGGTACATAGTGAAAAGATCTAGCATACGTGTTACAGGAATTCTGGAAAAACATATGTAAAAGTGAGAGAATAGGATTGAAGCTATATTTGAAGAAACAATGGCTGATAATTTTCCAAAATTAAAACAAAAAAACAAAAAAATCCAACATACGCATGTTTGAGAAGCCCTAAGAATGCAAATGCTGGATGAGTTACAAGCTGGAATCAAGACAGGAGAAACATCAACAACCTCAGATATGCAGATGATACCACTCTAGTGGCAGAAAGTGAAGAGGAACCAAAGAGCCTGTTGATGAGGGTGAAGGAGGAGAGTGAAAAAGCCAGCTTAAGAGTAAATATTAATAAAAAACTAAAATCATGGCATCCATCCCTATTACTGTGTGCCAGATAGAAAGGGAAAAGGTGGAAGTAGTGACAGATTTCCTCTTCTTGGCTCTAAAATCACTGTGGATGGTGACTGCAGCCATAAAATCAGACAAAGGTCTGTATAGTCAACACAGTGGTCTTCCCAGTGGTCATGTACGATTGTGAGAGCTGGACTGTAAAAAAGGCAAAATACCAAAGAATTTATGCCTTTGAACTATGATGATAAAGAAGACTCCTGAAAGTCCCTTGGAAATTTCACAGTATTGAAATCACACAGATCTCAAAACCATACTGAAGTTATATCAGAAACTACCAACAAAAAGATAACTAGAAAATACTTTATGATTAAAAGTTAAGAAATGAATTTCTAACTAGCTTAGAAATTGAAAAAATTAGAGCACATATTGAACCTAATATGTTAAATATTAAAACTTGTGTCTAGGGCTGTGCACTGGGAACACCCAGAGGGATGGGATGGAGAGGGAGGCAGGAGGGGGGATCAGGATGGGGAATACATGTAAATCCATGGCTGATTCATGTCAATGTATGGCAAAAACCACTACAATATTGTAAAGTAATTAGCCTCCAACTAATAAAAATAAAGGGAAAAAAAAAACTTGTGTCTAAAGGTGTACTTTAGTCACTGAAGAAATTTGACTAATGATATAATTAGAGGAAAATTTTATAGCTGTCAGAATATTTTAGGATTGAAGAGCAATGATTTAACACATTTGAAAATGATCAGAAACCTAAACAAAAGGAAATAATAAAAGAGAAAAAATAAAAATGAAAACAAATATATTATGGGACGGGATCACCAAAATTATAAACTTTGTAACATAAGTAATACTTTGAAATGACCAATAACATTAATAAAAGGCTCAAGAAATGAGTGGGAAAGAGACAGAGACAAATAAAGACAGAGAGGGATATAAATAGCCAGAATTCCAATGATAAAGACTACATCATTGTATATCCTATACATATTAAAAAGTTACAGAATACACTAAACAACTTTATGTCCATAAGTAGACTTATCAAATAATCTGAGAAAAAACTTTTCAAAACTGTGTTGACACAGATAAAACAAAGTTCAAATCTTTTAGCTGTTGGGACTTCCCTTGCCGTCCTTTGGTTGAGAAGCCGCCTGCCAATGCAGGAGACATAGTTTCCATCCCTGGTCCAGGAAGATCCTACTTGTCGTGGAGCAGCTACGCCCGTGTGCTACAACTAGTGAGCCTGGGCACTTGGAGCCCATGCTCTGCAGTAAGAGACGCCACCCCCAGGGAGAAGCCTACACACAGCACCTCGAGAGTAGCCCCTGCTTGCTGCAACTAGAGAAAGCCTGTGTGCAGCAATGAAGACCCAGCGCAACCAAAAAAAAATTATGTAGCTATTAAAGAAATTGAATATGTAATTAAAATTCTTTCCGTAAAGGACATTAAGCCAAAATGGCACCATTGATGAGTTCTGCCAATGGTGAGAGAAGTATTTTCAGTTTGACATAAGTTTTAATGTGGAATACATAAAAGGGGACAATTCTGAATATATTTTGGGGAGCCAAGATAACCTAAGTCTGTGAAGAACATTAGAAGTAGGAGTTTTCAGTTTGCTAATATTTGTTTAAACATTTAAACAAATACTAGCAAATTAAATCCAGCAAGATATACAAAAGGATAATATATCAGAACCAAGTGGAGGTTTTTTTGGTGTGTATTACATCTGACCACCAATTAGTTTAATTCATCTGTTAACAAGACAGAAGAAGAAAAAAATTCATGGTGTTCTCAATAAAAATATAAACTGCATTTGATAAAATTACATACTCATTCTTGTTCAAAACAAAACCTTTAGCAAACTAGGTATAGAAAGGAACTTCCTGATAAAGGCCATTTATAAAAAACCAACAGTTAATATCGTACTTAGTGGAAACAGACTCAATGATTTCCCCCTAAGATTGAGAACAAGGCAAGGATGTTTTCTAAGAATTTTTATCATGAATGTAGGCATGTGAGGACATCCAAGTGGAAAGTAAACATAGGAAAAGATATTTCATTTATTAGTCTTTAGGGAAAATAAACCCATACTTAAATATTTCTAGGCATTCACCAGAATGAATAAAATGAAAAAACTGATAATACAGATATTAGAGAAATACTGTGCACTGGGAAGTCTCATACACTGGTGGTGGGTGCATAGATTGGTACAGCCACTTTAGAAAGTTGTTTGGCAGTATCTTCTGAGTTTATATGTTTGTAGTTTATAAGCCTGTGGTTTCACTCTCCAAATCTATATAAATGCTTACAAAAAGTTTTGTACAGAAATGTGCATAATGCCATTATTTTTAATAGTCAAAGTCGGAAATGAGTGTAACGTCCACCAATAGTCCAGTAGATGAATGTATTGTATATAAATATATCATTGGTTCTTGAAGAGTTAGTTATTCTTCTCCTACCCCTACTGGTACAATCAGTATCACCTAGGCACTCCTTCCAAGTGCACTACCCCAAACTTGCTTATTCACAAATTCTGAGTTTGTGGCTTCTTTTTTTTTTTTTTTAACAAACTTTTCATGTGATTCTCTTGTATTTTAAAGTTTGAGAGTTAATACTCCATAGCAGATTTTGGCATGCCTTTTCTATAAAAAAGGATAGTAAATCAGTCTTCTGGGTTTTGGAGGCCATGTGGTCTCAGCTGTGCTATTACTTTGAGAAAGCAGCCTAGACAGTGCATAAATGAGTAAATGTAGTACTCCATAACCCCTGTCTTACAGCAATTAAAATGCATGTACTTTAGATGCATTTGACAACATGGATGTTTCTCTCAAACATAATGTTGAGTAACAGAAGAAAAGCCAGATGAAAGAATATGTATTGCATGATTTTATATATATATATATATATATATATATATATAATTTTTATAAAGAGGTGAATTTTGTCAGTGGTATTAGAAGTTAGGATAATAGTTAACTTTGAGCAGGAGGATCTGAATCACCATTGGGAAAATGGAATGAGAAGGGATTTTGAAATGCTAGTAAAGAATATAAAAATCCATATGCTTACACTATCTAGTATGCTTTTTATTCATGCTGTGAAAAGGAATAGGGAAAAGATTTTACTATTGCTTGGGGGTGACCTTTATATAGCATTACTTGCTTGTGAAACTATTGAGGGGGAAGAATTAAGTTAGCATTTACTTTTTACAGTTAGAGTAACTAGTTTATACTAGGGCCCACTTTCCTTTACAGGATAATGATAATGCGGAAAGAGTGATTAAGTTATTAAAATCACTGTTTCACGAAACCACTGTATTTGCTGAGATGTATGCATCTCTCATACTTTGCACTGTATGCAAGTATAATCAGTGAATACTAAAACCATCAGATGAACAGGATATTAATTTGGTGCCTAAATATCATTGCAGTGTAGAACCTTCTTTATTTTCAGAATCATCTTTCTGCCAGTTTAAAAAGTAAAAGCATCACAGAGATGAATAAAAGTATTTATTTCCCATTGTAGAGGCTGAAGAAGGAACAGTGGGGGCTTCATAGGAGAGTTTTGAATGGTTACTCAGTGTGTGAGCTTTGAGTTACTTAGTCTTGGAATTGGGGAAACTACTCTGCCCCCGCCTTTTGAAAGTTATTGTGGTTTTTTTGCCAAAGTTCAGTATGTATGAATTCTATATGATTTTTATCAGCAATCACTGGAAGTGATAGTTTTCCACTTTTCTCAGACATTGTTTCATTGAATTCACTGTTGATGATCCAGTAGTTCTTTTTGATGGCTTCATGTTGTGTGGGAGAAACTAGTCTTTTTCTTTTTATATATTTCCTTAGTGTAGTCATCAGATAGTGTAGCTAAAACAAATCAGACTTAATTTTCCATCTGAGTGGAATCACAAATAGGACTCTAATCAGAAAATTTGGTTGCATGTACCATTAAAAGAAAATAGACATATACTGTATCACGATTTTATGCAACTGAAATATACATTTCTTTCATTGTGTAGATTAATGAGTTTTAAAAGTTTAGTCTCTTCTTTTAATCCTGGTAAAAACTTTTTAATCCTTATTCTCACATACCTTTTATTTTCTGCAAGATGAATAAATTGTTAATTTGTTATTTCCTAGGAGGAATATAGAACTGAAGGTATCAGCTGGCACAATATAGACTATATTGATAATACCTGTTGCATAAATCTTATTAGCAAGAAACCAACAGGCCTGCTCCATCTTTTGGATGAAGAAAGCAAGTGAGTATGATTCTGAAAAGAATCATAACAAAAGTTTTGTTATTGCACATTTGAGTTTTTCATGTCTTCTTAAGCCCTAAGCTTTCTTCTTAATGTTATTAAGAGCTAAAGTTTCCCTGGTATGCATTTTTTTGTGTGTTTCTAAGAAACTGGATGGACTTGACTACTGAACTTGTTTTTTCCTTGACTTTATCCAAATTTCTTCTGCGAAGTCACTTTGGTGTTCAATTGTTGGTATATATTTTTTTGTTTTGGTTTCTGTCTTATTGAATTAAGTTTTAAATATGAGATGTGTTTGCAGTTTTCTTGTTTAGTGGTGAAAAACATAATAATAGATTTGTGATATCTGCCATGGCTGTGCAAGTTTTTAGTGACAGCATATGTTAGATATTTGCCATCCCTTGGTAACACTGTTCAGTATACCAGACTTAAATATATATGCTGCAGAAATAATGCTTCATGGAGCATCCTCCACTATGTTCTCAGTGCTCTAGCAAGTATTATTATAGTTTAATTATCCTAAGAGATGGCAAATCTAGACTTGGAGAAACCAAAGTGGTGGAGAGTGTGTTGGTTTTCTATGACTCGTTAGTAACATATTTAGGAATTGAATTAGGTCATTTGATTCTTCGTTTAATACTATGCCCATTAAACTCAGGTATAAAATATTAAATAGTAACTTTCATAGGTAGGATGACTGTATACCAGGTTTGTGTAGGACAATTTAAAGTTTATACCTATTGTTTATTTTAGTTATTAAAGGCAACTGTTTTTACTCTAAGAATATCCTGATAGGTATGGTAAGTTATATGTTGTTGCCATATTAATATACCATAAATTCACAGAATTGCTGCATAGAATTATAAAGTAATATGGCAGAGCTGCAAAATATATTGGAGATTGCCAACAATTATATCTGCCTTCCCATCATTAGTCTATTTTAATTAATCTAAATGAATTGAAATTCAGCAAAAAGCATTTTAATTTTATGTGCAAAGTTGTAAACCTTTCTTGTATTGCTCTATATTTCCCAAAACATACATTATCTCTTATAAAATTGTGAGGTTAGTGGTTCTTAACTCTGTTTACATGCCTTACTTCTGATGTATTTTATTTTAGAAAGTGTCATAGGTGATTTTGAAACTTAGTATGGAGAACCATTGTGGTAGATATTGAAATGATAAGCAGTTATTTTGTTTGAGCTGTCTTATGCACAAGAAAATTTAAGCAATTTGAGAAAAAGATCATATGTATAGTAAATGATGGACTTGAGATTCAAACCCTCCAGTTATTTCTGAATAAGAAGCTTTATTTTTATCTTTTACTTGAAGTTTTGTTTTCCTTTTTTATTGTGGTAACATTGGTTTATAACATTATATAAGATTCACGTGTACATTATATTTCTACTTCTGTATACCCTACAGTATGTGCTCACTACCAAAAGTTTATTTTTTATCTGTCACCATACAGTTGATCCCTTTTACCAATTTCACCTTCCCCCTGCCCCATCTTCTCTGTTATATAAAAAACTAGTATACAAGCAAAATCAAAATACAAGAATAAACCAAACAAAAACACACATGAGCTACGAAGAGCAGAGTAATGAGCTCGTGCTTTGAAGCATTGTCCTTATTTGCTTCACCATAATGCTTAGACTGTGATGTCAGAAGTTCAGGGTTGTCTTCCAGCTCTATTAACTACCCTCAGCAAATTTCTTAATATCCTTAGTCCTCAGTTTTCCTGCATGCAAAAAGGAAATAATGAGGATAAGTTATAATGCTGTCTACTCTATATCTTACAGTGGTTGTGAGCAGGAAATAAGCTATGGATATACAATTAAAACATGAATAGAGCAAAGGGGTCTTGTCTGTTATTCTTTAAGCAAAGTTTCATTGGGTGCACATCTTATTATGTTATACAAAGACCATCTTTACCTGGTCAGTTGCTACCTGACAGAAATGTAAATGTTGCCCAGTGAAGAGAATGTCACCTCTTTGCTGTTACCCAAAAGCTTGTGGGGTTAAGCCACAGGTTGAGAAATTACAGGAAGACAGACTTTGGCTCAGTATAAGAAAGAGTTTTTTATTCATTAGAACTGATTAGCAGCTGCTTCATAAAGTAATAGAATTTTCCATTATAGTAATTATTTTGCATCATCTATCAAGGTACTTTTGCAGGTAGGAGATTGGACTGAATAACCTCTTAATTGCCACTTCAATTGTGCTTCTATATCAACTCTCCATAAAATTTTTTAATAAACCATAGTATTATTTCCCTTGCTTTTAAGTCAGTCCTGTTATCTTTCCTTATAAATGGACCAGGATTGTCTCTCTGTTTTAACGTCCCAGAAGATGCAAAGACATGAAATATTTTCCCTCTTTCATGTACCAATAAAGAGGACTTGAAAATAAATAAGTATCATTTGGAAAGAGCTGTTTTTGAAATCACTTTGAGTATTTTTCCTCTAAAAATATTTTGTTCTGTAGAGGATATATTACGTGAAATATCATTACTGGTATTCCTGCTTCATTCAGTGTGTTGGTAGTGCTTTAGGACCACATGTTGGTAATTAGAATTCTTGTTTAATCTTGTCTTTGTTGTCTGCTGGCTGTTCAAATTTTATAAATTAGATTCTAAAGGATGCAGTGTGGAGTTTAGAAAGGAGGAATGTTGTAAGCAAAGTGAAGAGTGTTACTAGTCTTTTCTGTGGTACTCAATGTGATCTGCTGACAGCAGCACTGGCAGCATCTTAAAGGTTGTTACAAGTACAGTCTCGTACTTCCATCCCAGACTTCTTGAGTCAGACTCTGTGTTTTATTTAAAAACTGAAGTTAAAATCAGAGCATTCATTTAGGCCAACATTTTATCAGTCTTGCTTGGTTGTAAGAATTAACCTGGGGAACTTATAAATAGTAATTTGTCACTGGCCTAGCATCAATTCAGTAGAATCACAGGAGATGGGGTCCAGGCATTGGTATTTTTGAAAACTCCTTAGGGTAGCCTTAGATTAGTGCAAAGAAACAATAATCTAAGGCTACCCTTGCAGGTAGTCTTTGGGGAACATTGATGAAGAGTTTTGAAATTCACAATAATGTCTGCTTGGCCTCTGTTCCAGGCTCTTTTGCTTGGTTATGTAGTAGGTATCCACAATTGTTTATTGAATGCAGGACTGGTGGAAAGCTTTTTTTCCCATCTTCCCTTGTTTGGAATAGAAACTGCCTTTATATTTGTTCTCATTAATTATCTTCCAATTAAAAAAAAAAGAAATAATGTATCAATAAAAATGGGCAAAAGATGTAAATAAACAATAAAAGTGTTCCATAAACATGAAAATTAGCATTGGTTTTAATAAAGGAAATTTAAATGGAAACATTTAATTGTTTCCATTGTTTATCCAAAAAAAAAAAAAGAGAGAGAAACAAATCACAAGCTTTTTAATGACCCAAAGGAGTAGAAGAAAAATAGACCTTTACCCAGAAACAATGAGATGAACATCCTTCCTGAAAAGAAGCATGCTGCTGTGGAGTAGTGAGAGGTGTGTTTGCAGAAGTTGGATTGGTCTGGGCTTAGAAGCTTGTATTTCAATTATCTGAAGTAGGGGAGGCACACCATTAAAAGCACATTGTAGGAAAATTTATTTTGGTAGTTCTGTCCGGTGACATGAAACTTGGTAAAATTAGAATCACTAAGCTTATTATAAAGGTTGTTGCTGTACTCTCTAAAATTGTTCAAGAGTTGTAACCTGTTCTGGAATGGCTGTAGAGTTCTGGGAAGGAGAGAAAAGCCTAGAGGAAGGGATAGTGTTTGATGCAAAAGCAGGCCTCAGTTGACTAGGAAAATGGCAGTGTTGCTAGCATAAAAAAGTAGATTACATTTATATCATCCCTATAGGATGTCAACTAATGTTAGGTATTTTTACTAGTGTTATTTAGTTCTTCCAGCACTATCATTCATTTTACTCATTTATGGATTAACAGATCAGTTCCTAAAGAAGGTTGTACCTAACTTGCCAAGGTCACAGATAGAATTAGTAATGTAGGTAATGACTATCTGACATCAAAGACCATTCTTCTTCCTGGTTCCAATATGTACTATGTAATTAACCATTTTTCTTGTAGTTTTGGAATCATTTTAATGCATTAGATATTGTATTCAGCATCTTTATATCTCACATCACATTATTTTTCATTATTTCAACTACTATTAAATGAAACTATTCTCTGAAAGATACTTGCCCTCTACTTTTTTTGTCAGTGATTATTTTCTCTGTTTGAAGCTCCTACCAGACTTCTAAAATATAGCTTGTAATTGCCTCCTGTATCCTCTGAATCTTTCCATTATTCCCAACCACTAGTGATTTTTTTTTTTCTGTTCTAAAGTTTTATATGTCTATACTACTATTATTGCTAGTATTATACTATATTCCCTGGTGGCTCAGTGGTAAAGAATCTGCCTGACAATGCAGGATATGCTGGTTCGATCATTGGGTCAGAGAGATCCTCTGGAGAAGGAAATGGCAACCCACTCCAGTATACTTGTCTGGGAAATCCCATGGCAAAGGAACCTGATTGGCTCTAGTCCATGGGGTCACAAAGAGTTGGATACAACTAAATAAGTACTACTATTATGTAGTTGCTTCTTAATAAATATTATTTGAATGATTCCCAGATATGAAATGTTTGTCAGTGAATGTAAATCCATTGATGTGTATTTGAAAGAATAATAGACATAATATAAAAACATTCAGTAACTGATATAGGTAAGAAAATTACTACTTAATTTGTAACAACAACAAAAAACTGACTCTGGATTTAAAGGACCTGTCCAACCTGAGAGATCATTCCCTTTTTGCAAGTTCTTGAACCCAAGCAACATATGATTTGGTTTTTATTATCCTTTGAGTCTTATGGTGCAGCACACTGTGGCCCAAGATAAACATCTAAAGACTCGAGTAAGTTTCTTACTTCTGATACTTGCATAGTATGTGTTAGGCAGATCACAACTTTTGAGCTCTCATCTACAAAATAGGAATACTAAATCTTTTTTTACTCATCTTTCAGATTGTTTTGTTGTTGTTCAATCACTAAGTCATGTCTGACTCTTTGCAACCCCATGAAATGTAGCACACTAGGCCTTCCTGTCCCTCACTATCTCCTGGAGTTTGCCCAAGTTCATGTTCATTCAATCAATGATGCCATCCAGCCATCTCACCCTCTTCACCCCCTTCTCCTCCTGCCCTCAGTCTTTCCCAGTGTCACGGTCTTTTCTAATGAGTTAACTCTTCGCATCAGGTGGCCAAAGTATTGGAGCTTTAGCATCAGTCCTTCCAATGAGTATTCAGGGTTGATTTCCTTTAGGATTGATTGGTTTGATCTCCTTGCTGTCCAAGGGACATAGCACCACAGTTCAAAAGCATCAGTTCTTCGGTGCTCAGCCTTCTTTATGGTCCAGCTTTCACATCCATGCATACTACTGGAAAAATGATATCTTTGACTAAATGAACCTTTGTCAGCAAAGTAATATCTCTGCTTTTTAATACACTGTCTAGGCTTGTCATAGGTTTTCTTCCAAGAAGCAAGCATCTTCTAATTTCATAGCTGCAGCCACCATCTGCAGTGATTTTTGAGCCCAAGAAGAGAAAATCTGTCACTGTTTCCACTTTTTTGCCTTCTGTTTGCTATAAACTGATGGGACTGGATGCCCTGATCTTAGTTTTTTTAATATTGAGTTTTAAGAGGGGCTTTTTCACTCTCCTCTTTCACTTTCATCAAGAGGCTCTTTAGTTCCTCTTCGCTTTCTGCCATTAGGATGGTGTCATCTTTATATTTGAGGTTTCTGCCAGCAGTCTTGATTCCACCTTGTGATTCATCTAGCCTGGCATTTCCCATAGAAGTTAAATAAACAGGGTGACAATATATAGCCTTGTTGTACTCCTTTCCCAGTTTTGAACCAGTCCTTTGTTCCATGTCCGGTTCTAATTGTTGCTTCTTGCCTCACAGACAAGAAACTCTTTTGTTTCTCTCAAGAGCCAGGTAAGATGGTCTGGTATTCCCATCTCTTTAAGAGTTTTCCACAGTTTGTTGTGATCCATACAGTCAAAGGCTTTAGTGTAGTCAATGAAGCAGAAGTTGGTATTTTTCTGGAATTCCCTTGCTCTTTCTGTGATCCAGCAAATGTTGGCAACTTGATGTTCGGCTCTTCTCAGCTTGTTATGAGAATTTATTTAAGTGAAAACTCTCTGTAATTTGCTAAATTTGTTAGATGAAATTATAATTATTTTAAAAATACTTTATTAACTGCTGCACCTTTCTTTAGTGTTTTTGTTTTTATTTTTAATTTAGCTTTCCACAGGCTACAAATCAAACACTGCTGGACAAGTTTAAGCACCAACATGAAGAGAATTCTTACATTGAATTTCCAGCTGTGATGGAGCCTGCTTTCATCATAAAGCATTATGCCGGGAAAGTAAAATATGGGGTAAAGGTCAGTAAATTTCTCATTGAATAAGCCTTTAGGACAGAGGAGTGTTCTTAACTGTTATCACCATCCCTGTTATACTGTTTTCTTTGTAGTTGGTCAATAGCAGTGGGAGAAATTTTATAAGGATACTACCAAAATTCATACTGTTCTTTGCAGTATTCTGCTGTCATTAGCTGATGGTTTTATTGGGTTTTTCCTGCAGCTAAAATTGATGTCAATCCATTCTAAATGTAGTAGCCTTTTTATCTTGTTTATTTCTATCTCTTTAAATTTGACCTTTATTTTCTGGTGGGGTTCAGTTGGTTGGTTGATTTATTTTTATAATTGGTTTAGTTGACTTATAACACTGTGTTAGTTCCAGGTGTGCAGCAGGCGTGCAGCAGTTCAGCTCTGCATATACATGAGTCCATTCTGTCTCAGACTCCTTCCTCAGACTGGTCATTACACAAGTGTAATAGCCTTCTTAGAGCTTCAAGAGTAGATGCCATTGGTAGGTTTTAAACCCACTAGTTCATCTGTGTATGGTTGGTTGAATTTTTCTCTTCTCTGCATCCGTGAGGCCTCACGTCCTTGTGTACCCTTGGATATTTGTGAGCTTGAGCTCCTAGTGACTGTGTTGAGATTTAACTCCTGCAGGAAGGCGTCTTCATGGTTCTGCCCATCCCTTGTTTGTCACTGAGGAACCCGTTACCTTTCAGCCACTTGATGTTTAAGTCTGACACTGAAGGCGATTTCTAGGTGAGGTAGTGATGCTGTGGAATATTGTGGAGCAATATGTTTTTCCTGGATCTTGAGGTGAGAGTCAGAATTAAGGCCACTCATTCACTCACCAGTGATTCATTTATTCAAGAAGTAGTTATTAAAACATGAAGCACATGTCAGACTCTCTGCTGCTAATTTATTACTAGATCATTCTAAACATAAAGCACAGAGTCTGACATTTGTGTTTAGAATGATCTAGTGATTAATTAGCTCATATGATCTTGGTGTATAAATAAACGTACAGGTTCTATGAGAGAAAGTAGTGAATTAGTCGATTTTTAATTTGTAGGTAATGAACACCTCCTTCAAAACTCAAATTTTGAGAGATGATCTGAAGTAAATGTTACCTCGGTGAGGGGTTGGGATGATGAATAGGACAGAATAGATGATGATAGGACAGAATTTAATATGTTAAAATAATTGAAAACAGGTCAGCATTGCTAGATTATAGTGATCAAGGAACATAGTGGCATGAAATGAGTTTAGAGAATGGGCAGTAACTTAGTTCTTCAGGGCTTCTTGATCAAGTTAAAGGAGTTTGGTTTTTGTTGACATTCTCATGAGGAGCCATGAAAAAATTTTAAGCAGAGGATATGTTATGTGTTTTAAAAAATTGATTTCTCAGAGGAGAAAGAATAGCAGAGAGAGAGATTGGGAGCTGGGAGATCAATGAAACATTAAGGTAAACTGGACCCCTGAGGTGGCAGTAGAGATGGAGGAGATCTAAATGATTATGAGATAGTTTTGGAGATGCAATGAGTAAACCTTGTTGATGGATTATAGTTAATTGCCTTCTGGCTGTAGCTGATGGGTGAATTTGAGGTGCTATTTTCTGAGATGGAAAAGACAAGAAGGAACAGATTTTAGAACACACATTTAGAATAACAGAGTAGAATGGTGGTTATTAGTTGGTGGGGGAGTTGAGAGGCTGCCTAAGGATAAAAACCTGCAGTTAATTTCTGGAGTTCTGATGTACAGCATTATAATTATAGTAAACATTGTGTTTATAGTTAGCATTGTGATTATACCACTGTCTTCAAAGCTTCTAAGATAGACCAGATCTTAAATGTTCTTACCACAAAAAAATGATGATTGTATGACGTAATGGAGGTGTTTGTTAACTTTAAAATGGTAATCATATTACAGTTTATAAATGTATCAACTCAGTATTAATATTTTATACACCTTAAACAATGCTGTGTGTCAGTTACATCTAAATATATAAAAATAAAGTCTAAAACAAAAAAATCTTGACCTATAAAATCACATAGCAAGGTACATAAAATGCAGAAATCTCAAGTGTCCAGATTTCTCTCATGCCCCTTCCAGGCTCATTCTCCCCCACCCAGAGGTAAACATGACTGTAATTTTTTACCCTTAGTTTTTTTTTTACTTATTAAATTTCAGATAAATAGAATCATATAATATATGCATTTATGTCTGTGATTCATTCATTCTTATTATCAGATAGGTTGAAAGTAAAAGGATGGGAAAAAGACACACTAGGCAGACCCTAACAAGAAGAAATTTTCTGTAATTACATTATTATTGGACCAGGTAGGCTTTAAGACAAGAATCATTATTAGAGACAAAGAAGCACACTTCATAACAATAAAAGGGGCTTGTTTCAAGAAGACATAATCAAAAGTTATATGTACCTAGTGACTTCACTTCAGGCTAAAAGGGTAGCTAGACAAATTTATCATTAAAGCTGTAGATTTTCATACATATCTTTCAGTAACAACAAAATATGCAGACATGAAATCAATAAAAACAGAAAAATTGAACAGTACTGCTTAATAACTGACCTAATTGGCACATCATAAAGATAACTAGATACCCTATGGTGTTTAGAAATTAAGTGAACTTCTTCTGTGTAATCCCTGAGTTAGAAAAGAAATCACAAGTGATAATATTTTAAACTGAACATTAATGAAGATATAGCGTATCAAAATTTGTAGGATGCATTTAAAGCAGTGATTTATACCTTTAAAAGTGTATGTTAGAAAGGAAGACTGGTTGGCAAAACACTAGGGAAAATCAGCAAATTAAACTAGAAGAAGGAAATAATAAAGCAAAGACTAGAAATCAATGCAATAAAAAGCAGACATTTAGTAAAAGAAATGAGCAAAGCTAAAAGTTAGTTCCTTTAAAAAATAACTGAAAATAATACAGATGATCCTTGAACAGCATAGTTTTCAGTTGCGGGGTCCACTTGTACACAGCTGGAGATGTGTCCAGTGGTGAAAGTAAAGTCCGATGCTATAAAGAACAATACTGCATATACTGGAATGTTAGGTCGATGAATCAAGGTAAGTTGGATGTGGTCAAGCAGGAGATGGCAAGAGTGAACATCCATGTTTTAGGAATCAGTGAACTAAAATGGACTCGAATGGGTGAATTTAATTCAGATGACCATTATATCTACTTATATGGGCAAGAAACCTATAACCTGTACAAGAAATGGAGGAACCCTCATAGTCAACAGAACAGTCCAAAATGCAGTACTTGGGTGCAATCTCATAAAGGACAGAATGATCTCTGTTCATTTCTAAGGCAAACCATTCAGCATCACAGTAATACAAGTCTGTGTCCCAACCACTAATGCCAAAAAAGTTGAAGTTGAATGGTTCGATGAAGACCTATAAGACCTGATAGAATAAACACCAAAAAAAAAGATGTTTTTTTATCATAGGGGACTGGAATGCAAAAATAGGAAGTCAAGAGATATCTGGAGTAACAGGCAAGTTTGGCTGGAGTACAAAATGAAGCAGGGCAAAGCTAACAGTTTTGCCAAGAGAACGTACTGGTCATAGCAAACACTCTCTTCCAACAACACAAGAGACGACTCTACACTTGGACATCACCAGATGGTCAGCACCAAAATGAGATTGGTTATGTTCTTTGCAGCCAAAGATGGAGAAGCTCCATACTAGCAGCAAAAAAAAAGACCAGAAGATGACTCTGGCTCAGATCATGAACTCCTGATTGCAAAATTCAGACTTTAAATTGAAGAAAGTAGGGAAAACCACTAGATCATTCAGGTATGACCTAAATCAAATCCCTTACGATTCTACAGTGGAAGTGACAAATAGATTCAAGGGATTAGATAAGATAGAGTGCCTGAAGAACTATGGACAGGGATTCGTGACATGGTACAGGAGGCCGTTATCAAGACCACCATCCCCAAGGAGAAAAAAATGTAAAAGGCAAAATGGTTGAGGATGCCTTACAAATAGCTGAGAAGAGAAGTGAAAAGCAAATGAGAAAGGGAAAGATCTATCCATCTCAATGCAGAGTTCCAAAGAATAGAAAGGAGAGATTTAAAAAAGCCTTAAGTGATCAATGCAAAGAAATAGAAGAAAACAACAGAATGGGAAAGACTAGAGATCTCTTCCAGAGAATTAGAGATAGCAAGAGAACATTTCATGCAAAGATGGGCACAATAAAGGACAGAAAAGGTATGAACTTACCAGAAGCAGAAGATGTTAAGAAGAGGTGGCAAGAATACACAGAAGAACTGTACAGGAAAGGTCTTAATGACCCAGACAACTACAATGGTGTGGTCGCTCACCTACAGCCAGACATCCTGGAGTGAATTCAAGCGGGCCTTAAAAAGCATCACTACGAACAAAGCTAGCAGAGGTGAGGGAATTCCAGCTGAGCTTTTTCAAATCCTAAAAGATGATGCTGTTAAAGTGCTGCACTTAAAATGCCAGCAAATTTGGAATACCCTGCAGTGGCCACAGGACTGGAAAAGGTCAGTTTTCATTCCAATCCAAAGAAGGGCAATGCCAGGGAATGCTCAAACTACCACACAGTTGTACTCATGTCACATGCTAGCAAGGTAATGCTCAAAATCCTTCAAGCTAGTACTTCAGTCAAGATAGTACTTAAATCAGTAGTACTTGAATTGAGAACTTCCAGATGTACAAGCTGGATTTAGACAAGGCAGAGGAACCAGAGATCAAATTGCCAACATCTGTTGGATCATATAAAAAGCAAGAGAATTCCAGAAAAACATCTGCTTCATTGACTACGCTAAAGCCTTTGACTATGTGGCTCACAACAAACTGGAAAATTTGTACATCGAGGCTGTATGTTGTCATCCTGCTTATTTAACTTCTATGCAGAGTACATTATGGGAAAAGCCGGGCTGGATGAATCATAAGCTGAAATCAAGACTGCTGGGAGAAATATCAACAACTTTGCATATGCAGATGATACCACCCTAATGGCCTGAAGCGAAGAGGAACTTACGAGCCTCTTGATGAAGGTGAGAAAGGAGAGTGAAAAAGTTGGCTTAAAATTTAACATTCAAAAAACTACGGTCATGGCTTCTGGTCCCATCACTTCATGGCAAATACCTGGGGAAAAAATGGAAACAGTGACAGACTATATCCTTGGACTCCAAAATCACCGCAGATAGTGACTGCAGCCATGAAATTAAAAAACTCTTGTTTCTTGGAACAAAAACTATAACAAACCTAGATAGTCACTTAGCATAGCAAAGGCTCATCTAATCAAGCTATGGTTTTTCCAGTAGTTTTGTATGGATGGGAGATTTGGACCATAAAGAAGGCTGAGGACCAAAGAATTGATGCTTTTGAACTGTGGTCCTGGAGAAAACTCTTGAGAGTCCCTTGGACAGCATGGATATCAAACCAGTCAATCCCAAAGGAAGTTAACCCTGAATATTCATTACAAGGACTGATGCTGAATTGAAGCTCCTATACTTTGACCACCTGACACAAAGAGCCAGTTCATTGGAAAAGACCCTGACACTGGGAAAGACTGAGGGCAGGGGGAGAAGAGGGTGACAGAGGATGAGATAGTTGTATGGCATCATCGACTCAATGGACATGAATTTGAGCAAACTCCAGGAGATAGTGAGGGACAGGGAAGCCTGGCGTGCTGCAGTCCATGGGATGCAAAGAGTCAGAAACTATTGAACGACTGAATAACATCTTATGCACAGACATCTTTCAGTAAATAGATGCTGCAGTACTGTGTGAGCCATGATCGACTGAATCCACGAATGCAGCACTCTAGATGCTCTGAAGATCTGACTGTAAAGTTATTTGGGGATTTTCAGCTGTGGTTTTGGTCAGCATTCCTAACCCCCATGTTGTTCAAGGGTAAACTATATAAGTAAAAGATAACAGAAAATAACTAATGAAAGGAGAAAGAGTCACAGATAGCAGAACAGGTAGCAGAAACAAAAAAGGGGATTTAACTACGCACTCTCTAGATACTTATAAGATATGAACATGTTTTGCCGATAAATTTGACAGTGTAAAGTTGAAAATTCCATGAAAAAATATCACCAAAATTGACACCAGAAAATATAGGAAAACTTAAAAACCCTATGTTTATTAAGTAATTTGAATCAGTAATTTAAAAGTTTCTACAAAGGGAATTCCAGGTCCACATGGTTTCACTGGTGACTGCTTTAAAGCATATAAGCAATACTAGTGTTACACATTTTTCTTTCAAGTTTGAGATACCTTTAAAATGTATAAATGCATCTTCAGACATAATAACAAATATCTGAGCTGGAAATACAGATTTGGGTTTCATCATTTTAGAGTTTAAACCACAGTTATGGTTGAGATAAACTGATGTAAGATGATCAGAAAATATGAGTACACAAGATGAAACTCTAAGAATTTTCAATACAGAACCAACAGTGGGGACTGATAAGGGATAACACAAGATGTAAGTAGTAAGTCATAAGCTGCATTGTCATAGAAAGCAATAGAAGACAGTTTCAACGGTGATGGGATTAGTTTATGAAATGTACTTAGGAATGTAGAGATATGAAGACAGAGAGCCAGGACCATTACGTTGGGAAATGTTGATGACTATTAACATGGAAAAGAAATATAGAATTTTAGGTTTTACAAGAAGTGTAGTTGTTAGTAGGACAGAATGATCTTTGGAATAGGGCAGACTGATGTTTTAGTTCCTGTAGCAGTGCTTATTGTGTTTGACTTCTGACGAACTTCTTTCTCCCTCTGATTACTTGGCAGGGAAGTTTGGTTTATATTTGCATCTGCTTTACTGAGTAATTGAGAGTTAAATTAGCTATGTGTCCTGCTTAACTTAGAGCCTGGCATGTGTCTGCCCTCAGTCTTTGCTGCTGCTGGCCTTTTGATTTGAAAATTCTTCCTCAGTTTTACTAACTTTTATAATATATACTTTTGCTCAAAGGGTACTTAGGGACAAACTAAGCACCAAGACTTTTGACTTGTTTCCCACTTCCCCGTTTTCAGGAGAACCAGGAATTATTAGGAAAGGAAAGTCCCAAAGGTAGCAGGATGAGTCCAGGCTGCCTTGTGGACCTGAGCGTTGATGACATCAAACTAGGCATGACCCTCAGCGAATTCTGAGTTAGGGCTATTCTGTGAAGCTGCACTGACATGAAGTGATTTACTCACCAGTCCTTCCATCTGGGTGTGGCTATAGTCAAATGCCTAGACTCTGTGTATCCCGTCTGGGACCTTCTTCTAGGAGTGTAAGTTTCTTGCTCTCCTTATCTTATTTTGGGGTATTTAAACTCATTTTCTTCTGTTCTATCATCTCTTACCTCCATTGGCAAGAGGTTTTAACTGGCTATTTACATTCCTTTGGTAATCTTATCCAACTTTAAAAATGTATATGCTGATGATATCCAAATGTGTTTTCTGAAATCTGTTAGACTCTAGGCACATGTATCCGTCTGCCTACTTGATGTCTGTATGCAGACATAGTATAGTGGTTAGGAGTGGCTATGTTTGAACCTCTGTTCTTCTCATTAATGTGTGATAGGGGCCAACATAGTTAACTTTTCTGTGACTCAGTTTCCTCATCTGTAAAGCAATAATAATAATATCATCCATCTCAAGGACTTGTTAAGGTATATCTATCTCAAGGACTTGTTAAGGTGATGAAATGAGGTTCAGTGAGACAACGTATGTAAAATACGTGTGTGCCATTTACTTAGTAACTTCTCAATAAATGTTGCTTGCTGTTGTCATTATTTTCAGCATCGCAGACTTCACTTGGACAAAACTTGTCTCCTGATCATCATTTTCTATACTCATATCTTTTCTTTTCTCAGGTCTTCTCTATATTAGTATACATAGTACCTCCACCTACCTCGTTGCTCAAACCCAAAATATAGGTGTTAACCTAATTCTCTCATTCACTCACAATGCTCTAATCCACCTGCAAATCCTTCGCCCTTACCTCTAAAAAATGTCCCAAATATGTAACCATTTTCCTTTTCCTGTAGTACCATCCTCATAGTCCAAGTCACTGTCAGCTCTTATTTGGAATACTGCAGTAGCTGGTCTCCTTTCTCCATTCTTTGTACAATTAATTCCCTCAGTAGCAGTCAGTGATGTTTATAAAACATCAGTTCAGTTCAGTTCAAAAACATCAGTTAGTTCATATCATTATCCTTCCAGTGGCTTTCCTTGACACTTGAATAAAGTCCAAACTCCTAACTCAGTCTTACATAGCTTACATAGCCTATTTGTATCCCTTTTCCTGTACCTCTGTCACCCTTGCTGAGAATGCTCTAAGCCTTAGTTTACTTTCTCCTAACTTCTGCAACTTAGCACAACCTATAGGTAATAGGTGTTCCCTTTGAGTGAAATGTTGTTCCTGGTCTTCTCATTTCTGGCTTCGTTTTATTACTCAACTCTCTTTGTTGTTTTATGTGATAGTCCCTTAGAGAGTCTCTCCCAGACCAATGTTTAACAAACTGCAATGTGTTGGTGGAATGTTCATTCTAATTTAAATGAATTATAGAATTAAATAGTTTTAGGCTTGGATGGGATTTTATAGAGGATATCTATCTGGTCCATCTAGCTGGCTAACGCGGAAATCACTTCTATACCCTTATTCAGCCACTGTTCAAATATGTCACCCATTTTTTTCTTGGCTTAATACATTTTTTCAAAAATAACACTGGTATTTTTTTCATGTAGGATTTCCGGGAAAAAAATACAGATCATATGCGCCCTGACATTGTAGCTCTTCTGAGAAGTAGCAAGAATGCATTTATCTCTGGGATGATTGGAATTGATCCCGTAGCTGTTTTCCGATGGTCAGTTCTCCGAGCTTTTTTTAGAGCCATGGTTGCTTTCAGGGAAGCTGGGAAAAGACACATTCAGAGAAAAACTGGTAAGCAATAGACATCAGTGTTCTGCCATGCTTCTTCTTTTTTTTTTTTTTCTTTTTTTAAACCATGCCCTAACATCCTGTTTCAGATCTGAGTGCTGGTGAACTTTATGTATGTGTGTATATATATATTATTAATAAATATTGATAGGAATAATGAGTGTAACGCCCCTGGTATTTCTTAGGCATACTGACATTGGTAAGATTTTTAAGCAAAAAGTGAAATTATTATTTAATTGTATAGAACTTAATATTGATACTGTTCTCTGTTTTCTTCTAGTGTCATAGTTTTTACTACAAATGAAACATAATGTTGAAGCATAAATCAGGAGACAGAAAAATTAGGATAGAGGTAGTATAGTATGGTGGATAACCCAGCTTCACTTGTCATCTCTTTTGTCATCAGTTGAATCAGTTGTCATCTCTTCTCTTGACTGATTTTGTGACTGTTAGCTGTTTTACTTGGAGTGTTAATAGTACCTTCAATATTATGAGGGTAAAATTAGATAATGCACGTGAAGTGTCCGCTTATGAAGTGTGATTTCTGTTTCCTCATGTGTAATTCAGGTAGCTGAGCTCTACTTTAAAAGCTGGAAATGGGTAAAGCTGGGCACCTTTTTGGTGCCTCCCCTGCTGTAGCTGTAGCCTTAGACCATTGCTGCACAGTGAGGCTTGTCTAGCACATACGCAATCACTTAAAATGATATTTTTCTGCCGAGAAGCGTCAGCAGAAGTGCGAGAGGATACACTCTGTGCTTTCAGGGCTCCTAACCCACTCCAGTGTTCTTGCCTGGAGAATCCCATGGACAGAGGAGCCTGGTGGGCTGCCGTCTACGGGGTCGCACAGAGTCAGACACGACTGAAGCGACTTAGCAGCAGCAGCAGCAGCAGGCTTACTTATGTGGCTTTTTGGCATGTGCATCAGCAGTGAAAATTTACATTTGGCTGTTATATTTTTTAAATGAATAAAATATTAGAAAGATTGTATTTCTAAAATGAGAGGCAAAAGTAATTGTATTTCATTTCTGTACTTCAGATTATAATGTGTGTGAACTGGCTCTTGTGAACAGAACTATATATTTTTTTTGAAAATAGAAGGAAAATCTTAAAACTGCTTTGCCTTTGCCAACATTATTTCTAAGAGGCTATCTCTGCAAAAAACTTGAAACAAATTTAAATTGAGGTATAATGGACATATGACATTATATTAGCTTCAGGTATATAACATAATGATTCAGTATTTATATATACTGTGAAATGATTCCATCCATCACTATACAGAGTTACAAAACGTAATCTCTTGGCCACTTTCAAATATGTACTGCATTATTGACTACAGTTACCAGCAGAAAATTAAAAGGAAAAGTTTTTTTTTAAAGATGCATTCCTATTTATTACAGTGGACATCAATTTATCAATATTGAAAAATGTGTCAATTCTGGAAATTGATACACACTCTACTAAGACTTAACTAAGACAATAAACCTTTCTTATATTTACTATTAAATACTTTGCTTTCTGTAAAAGTTACATTGTATGTTCTTTTGGTATTTATTATTTGTGAAAGCTGGTTCTGTGTATATTAGTATTAGTACAAAGACATGCAATGTTACTAATGCTACTAATGATCAATCAGCTGAGCCTGTATTATCTCTACTTGGATAATTTCTAGATTCTTCTTGTTTTCTAATCTAATTTCTCTTTCTGGCCAGCATAGAACTTCTGTGTAATAAACTCTTTTATACTGGGATATGACATGTATGCATAAAAGTGCACAGAACAAAAACACAGTTCAGTGAATTATCACAAAGTGAAAACACTTGTGAAACTATCTTCTAGGTTAAAAAAGAGAGTATGACCAACATGCTAGAAAGTCCCCCTTGCATAAACTTTAAAAATTTCCCTTTTTATTAAGAAAGAAAAAAAAGATAGTTCATTTGCATTTTGAGACAATCACTGAGCAAGCAGGTTTGTTACAGAGAATAATTGTATTACAGTATATTAGTGTCAGTGCCAAAATTTAGCGTTTTTCCTCCCTCTGTACCATTTACCTCCTGCTCTTTTCTGGTGACTTTAGAATAAAAGGATTTTATAAAAATTAGAACATTGCAGTATTGCAGAATAGAAACTAACAGAATAACTGGAAATGGACTAAGTAGTAGATTCAGAATTTTTATAATCACCATAAGTAGTATGCAGATATATCGAAGTGAAACAGGAATTAGAGATTATTTAAACAGAAGTAGAACATGTGACACTCCACTCCGGTACTCTTGCCTGGGAAATCCCATGGATGGAGGAGCCTGGTAGGCTACAGTCCATGGGGTCGCTAAGAGTCAGACACGACTGAGCGACTTCACCTTCACTCTTCACTTTCATGCACTGGAGAAGGAACTGGCTACCCACTCCAGTGTTCTTGCCTGGAGAATCCCAGGGACAGGGGGCCTGGTGTGCTGCTGTCTGTGGGGTCGCACAGAGTCGGCCACAACTGAGGTGACTTAGCAGCAGTAGCAGAACATGTGAAAGGCAGAAGGTAGCCAAGTTCAGATTTTGAATTAGAGTAAGATGTCAAAAATATTATTTCTAATGGAGAAAGAAAATGTAGAATACAGAGTGCAATATATTTTCACTTCCTTTGAGATTATCTTTTAAAGGAAATATCAGTGGACTCTTAGCTTATTGTCAAGAAATACCTTGTTGCTGAAACTGCCCCCCCCCCCCCCAAATCCTTGATTTTCTTAAGGGATTCTCTAACATCATTCTTCATCATCAAGCCAGCTGAGCACAAATGAGAATATCAAATTTAAATTTTCTTTTGACTGTTATTTTTTCTTTTTTATAGACTTCCATATTAGAGAACACAATGCCATTTTAAGACCTTTAAATAAAAATTAATTCAATTAATTGAAGAATAAATTTGTTATAGTTGTGTGTTAATAGCTATGGCAGTTTATTAGGAAACCATAAAATATTCTTAGTAGAGTCATGTAAACAGGCAGTTTGAATGAGGTTCCATGTTGGCCCTGCTGGGAAGTAAAATTAGAAATCGTAATGATTTTTCTGGTCAACCGTGAGGTATGGAAGAACAGCTATTCCAGTGGTGTCATCTATCTTGCCTCTGATTTACTTCTTCTGAGTAAGAAAGAGCCTGGACTAGAGAGTACAGGGGAGATCATAACTTGACCATGAGTTATACAGTGAGTGCAGTGATGCTTAAAAAGACTAGGGAGAGACAGGAAATTTAGCTGTGGCATTGGCATAAGAGGTAAGAATGAGAATTTAAAGTGTCATTCAATGTCTTCATCTACAGGGAGAAAATCTGAAGCCATTCATATAGTGTCTGTAGGTAGAGATTGTTAATGGTTCCCACATAACCTGTTCCTCTTCACCATCCCACACAGTGGACTGCATGACTCTAATGTACTCCCATTTGTTTTTGTAAGTGGGAGAAGGATTCCTGTGACGATCCCTTTCCAGAAATAACCAAGTACTAAAACTCATTTAGATATCACCTAAATAGGGTTGGACATGACGTGGCAACTAAACAACAATGACAAATAGGATCTAGGATTTCTCCTGCATTGGCAGCTGGGTTCTTTACCACTAGTGCCACCTGGTAAGCCCTGGATCTAGGATTTCTATGCAGTAGTCTATCTGCAATTCTGCCCAGTACTTAAGACAATTAAATGCATTTTTCTTAACAATTAAACCCTGACCATTACTAATAAATTAATTCTGTGTTAGGCTTTATGGTGTGGTGATTAAGGGTTTATTAAGGGTGATTTAGATTGAATGTCAATTCAACAGTGGAGACAGGACTTCTGAAAATGTGTCTCTTCCATAAAAGCAACAGGAACACTTGCAAAAATTGTCAGAATAACTTTGTTGGAGCTCAAGAAATTCATCAAAGGCCTGCAGTAATTTGGAAAGTGTACATACAAGAAAAAAGACTGAATATTATTAATGTCAGTGCATTTTATAGTGTTTAAGCTTGCACTGCTCACCACCCTCCGTCTTGAGCTCTACAGTAGCCTTGAAAACCTATAGCCTAGATGTGCAATGAAAATCAGAAGTGGGACAACCACTGGAGGGAGTAGAAGGGGGCTGGCACTCCTTTAGAGCTCCATTCCCAGAGAGTTTTCATTATTTAACCTATTTGGTAGTTTCATGGAGGACCCCACTTAAAAGGCTATCTTTTAACCTGACTTGGAGCTTTCCCAGTATGAATAACCTTTGATCTAGGGGTTTTGTCCAAAACAGTCAGAAGCAGTTGTTGAACATTGCAACTCTCTGATGCAATAGATAACAGTTGGGGGCAAAAACTAACCAAAACATTTAAAAGGAACACCTGTGGGATGAGGTGTCCATAATGGCTATGAAAAGTTTCATGGGAATTTAGGTGGCTAAGCACATGCATAGGACTGTGTATGTGCCTAGGGCTATGCTCAGTAAAGACCTGAAGAGATCCTGATTTCTTATCTCAGGATAACATTCAGGTTTTGTGTGAGCAGGTTAAGGCAGAGTTCTAAGCTGCCTAGCTGAATGTTGTAGGTATGCTTCAATGTAAGCACTCAATGACCCTTGACAAAGACTGGGAGAATTACTTTTTTCAGGCATGTAAAGATATATGCCTCCAGTCAATAGCTGTTTATTAAGCTAAGTGAGCAGAGGTTTCCATGGTCACCTGTGACAAAGAATACAAACTTTCAGAATTAATTCAGTAATGTCCTAAACAAATAGCAACTATAAGAATCAGCAGCACCAGTAAATCCCGGGGAGAGAGAGAAAATCTAATTTTCAGAGTTGCCATGTTATATTATTTAAAATTTCTGGTGTTCTATATAAGATTTTGAGACATGCAAAGAAATACGAAGATATGACCCATACATGGGGAAAGAAGGAATCTGTAGAAACCTATCTCTGAAAAAATCCAGGCATTGATATTGCTAGACAGAATTTTTAAACTGTTTTAAATATGTTTAAAGACAGAAAGGCAACCATAT